CTTCTGAGACAGTCCTTCTCATAGGGCCATACTCCAGAGCATTCCTGCCACACAGGGAGGGTAGGGGCTCTGCAGATAATCAGTCCCTGGAGGGCTCAGAACTCTCTACCCTGAAAGGCCTGCAGAGGGACAGACAGACAGCTCTTCTCCAACCACAGCCAGCAGCAATAGCTCCATCTCTGTGAGTGAGCTCCTCCTGGCTCTCCAGAGCCCTCCCCGCAACTTCTTACCTGCAGCTTCTCAGAATGACCACCAGAGAGAGCAGCTCCTCCGGGCTGGCTGTTTCTGTCTCTTCTGCCTCTCCTTCCTTCTCTTCCTCCCATCCCCCTGACTCACTTCCCCTCCGGATCTTTCAGCAAAACTCTCCTCTCATTTATTCTGCACTAGTTTATGTCATATCCAGCATATGCGATTCCTGAGCTTGAAGATTTCACAGACTGTTCAAGAGAGAAAACCAGTTGTCATCATGGAACAGAGAGTGTGAGGAAGGGGAAAGAAAACTCTGGAGTAAGGAGGACCCAAACTGAACCATAATTCTTCATTCAAAAATCAACCTACCAGCCAGGCAAGGTGGCTCATGTCTGTAATCCCAGCACTTGGGAGGCTAAGGCAGGAGGATCAAGAGTTTGAGAGCAGCCTGGATTACATAAAGAGACCCTATTTCAAAAAACCTAAACAAACAAAACAAATAAATAAAATCCACCATAGTAAAAGGCTAAAGAAGAAAAAAATATATAATCATATTAATTGATGCTGAAAAGAAATTGACAAAACCCCACTCACGATCAAACTCTTAAAAAACTAGGAATAGAGAAGAAATTCCTTAGCCTTATTAACCGCAAGTACAAGTAACCTCTCATTAACACAGACTGAATGATGACAGTCTGGGTACTTTCCCTTTAAGGTTTGGAGCCAGGCAAGGATGTCTTCTCTTTCCAGCTAGTTCAACAAAAATCCAAGAAGAAATAAAAGACATACAGATTGGAAAAATGTCCTTAGTCACAGGTGAAATGGTTATCTGTGTAGAATGCCCCAAAATCTACAATAAAACTTCTGATAAAAACAGCAAGGTACCAATACACAAAGTCAGTTCCTCCTTATTTAATTTGTAATTTAATGCGTTCTTATTTAAAATTTTTTTCATATATGTGTTTCCTCAAAATGAGCTGTTGATTTGGTGGAACACTCCAGGAGAGATTCTGTGGAAATGTGTTAAGATGCGGGCTGGGGGCACGTAGCTCTACCAGCACGTAGCTGGTAGAGCACTTACCTGGCACACTTGAGGCCCTAGGTTTGTTTCCCAGCACCACAAAAAGTTTTAAAAGGTGAAATTAGTTAAGATAATTCTAGCCGGGTGCCTCACACCTGTAATCCTAGCTACTCAGGAGGCAGAGATCAGGAGGGTTGTGGTTCAAAGCCAGCCCAAGCAAATAGTTCACAAGATCCTATCTCGAAAATATCCAACAAAAGAAAGGGCTGGTGGAGTGGCTCAAAGGTGCAGGCCTTGAATTCAAACTCCAATACCACACACACACAAAAGATAATTCTAAAATACATATGGAAGAATAAAGGATCAATTTTAGCCTAGACACTTCTAACATAGAAAAGCAAGGAGACACTTCCCAGCCCCAGACATTAAAGCTAAATAATTAAGGTGGTGTGGCACTGACAGAGACAGATAAATTAGCTATTGGGACAGAATAAAGCTCAGACACAGAGCAGGCATGTGTAGAACTCCGTTAGATGACAGAAGTGGCAGACCATATTATTGGGGAAAGGGGACATTAGGTAAGTGGGGCTTGTAAGAATTGTTTTCTGTATGTTGAAAGGTAAAACTGGAATCTAACTCATACTATATTAAAATTCAGATGAATGAAAAACAGAATTTTTAAATTCTTAATGGAAAATATAATAAAAGATTTCTTAAATCAGTTCAAACCATGTCTATCTACTAAAAAACTGATACATATAAAACATCAAAAATTTAAATATTTATCCATCAAATAACACCTTAAAATAGAAAGTAAGGGCTGGGTGGAGCAGCTCACGTGGAGAACATCTGCCTAGTGGGCCCAAGGTTGTAGCTTCAATCTCCAGTACTGAGAAAAAAAGTGAAAAGGTCAAGATAAAAACTGAGAGATTTATAATGCATACCCCATAACTGCATTAAAAAGTCTTTAAAGTGCATATAAAAAGCACAAACAGGGCTGGGTAGAGTGGCTCAAGTGGTAGAGCACCTGCCTAGCAAGTGTGAGGCCCTGAGTTCAAACCCCAGCACCACCAATAAATAAATAAATAAGGCATAAACAACACTGTAAAGAAATGAACAAAATTTAAGGCTCAGTTCTTCACAGAAGAAGAAATTCCTATAAAGAGATGTTCACCATTAGTGATCAGAAAATGCAAAGCAAGACATCATTTTATACCCTAGCAAAAGCCCACCAAAGGTCAGAGAGGGTATGGATACATGGGGGCCTCTCATGTATCCCTAGGAAGCGTGTGAACATTTTGAAAAATAATTTGGCACTGCTTCCCAACTTCACATCATTTTAGGCCTGGCCATCCCTCTGGCTGTGTTGTGGGATGGGAAGGAGAACAGGAATAGAGACTAGGAAGGAAGCTAGACTCACAGTTTACAAACATGCTGGCTGTGGAGGTGGCAAGCAGCTTTTCAATGCAAGGCATATTTAAATCAACAAAAAATAAAGCAAAGAATTCCTAGAAAATGGTTCCAGAAAACACATTAGAATGTTCTCAGCCTTATTAGCTTTAGGAAAATATTATAAGCACAAAGAAGTGCCATTAAAATGGTTAGAGTGTGCTCAGTGGTAGATCGCAGATTGCTTGCCTGACATGTGCAAGGCCTTGGGTTCAATTTCCCCCCACACACACACGTTACAACATTGAGAAGAATGTGCAGCAACCTGAATTCTCATGTAAGGTTTGTGGGCGTGTACATTTGTACCACTTCTTCAGAAAATTATATAGAATAACGATTCCATGAAACCCAGCAAGTCTCTTCCCAACCCAGACCAAACAGATATACCTACACACGTGCACAAAAGACCTAAACCTGAAGTTCATAGCAGCCAGAAACAGGTGACACCCCAAATGCCCATCAGCAGGAGACTGGATAAACTGGCCTATTCCCACAATGAAATACTGTACAGCATTGAGAAGAAAAGCCCTACAGATACACGTGATGTGGTGACTCTCAAAAACATAATCAAAAGCCAAGTAAGCCAATCTGAAAAGAATATGCACTATGGTCCACTTTTTATAAAGTTTCAAAACAAAGATGAGGATGGTGGTGACCAACAAGGAGGAGCTGTGACTGGCAAGGATGTGAGGGAGGCTGGGATGTTCCATCTATTGATCAGAGTGGTGTTCACTTAGTGAAAATGTGTCGCTCTGTACACACTGACCACCTTTCTGAATGTATGATGCTACAGCTGGGATAAGTGCTTATCCCTTCTCCCTGCCCCCAAAGTTCCACATGTTTAAAGGCTTGGTCCCCAGAGTGGTTTTCTTGGGAGGTGGTAGAACCTTTAAAAGATGAGGCTTAGTGGGAGGTCCCTAGTTCACTGTGCCCTTAAAGGTGTTGTGGGGCTCCCATGCTTCCTTTTGCTTCCTACCATAAGGTGAGTAGTTTTGCTCTGCTTTATGCTCCACCATGACGTGCTGCTTCGCCACAGGCCCAAAATAATGGGGACAACCGATCGTGAACCTCCCAAATTGTGAACCAAAATAAAATTTTTCTCTGGTGTTTTGACTGAATATGTTGTTAAAGTGACAAAAAGCAGACTATCATATGTGATATAGCCCAAAGCAAATTTCACATTTAAAGGGAGAGATTTAGAAGAATCAACAGGACACAGTAACTGATAGATGTGGATGAGGAGGAAGAGAAAGAGACCAATCTAGTGATTTGGATCTCAGCAACTGGCTAAGTGAAATTACCCTTACTGGGATGAGAAATTGCAGCAGGAATGCTGGCATGGACAAGGAGTGGAAATCAAGTTCAGTTTTAAACTCTCCATGGTTGAGGTGCCTATCAGGCATTACAGTGAAGACGTCAAGTAGACGTCTCAGTATTCAAGTTTAGGGGCCCAGTGAGAAGTCAGAGCTGGAGAGGCAGGTTTGGAAGTCCTGGCTGTGCTGATAGAATGCAAAGCCATGAGCCTGAATGAGATCTTTGCCAAGGGGGTAAATGTGGGGAGCAAAGAGAAGACCCAAGGACTGAGGGGTGGGGAGACCCACACATTTAGTTTGGTAAAGGATAAGAGCCACAAAAGAGACCAAGAAGGAGTGGCCAGAGAGCAGCCTGAAAAGAAAACCAGGATAGCATGGCTTTGAGAAAGGTGGGATGGTCAACAGTGACAAAGGTACGCTGAGGGCTCAGGATGACACCTGATATTTAACGGCATGAAAGTCATTGGCGAACTTGTCAAGGGCATTCCACGAAATGTTGTTGGTGTCTTAACTGTGGAGTAGAAGAGGACCAACAGGAGGTGAGGATGGAGAGACATGGAACACTGCACTTCTGAGAGTTTTGCTGTGCAGGTGAGCAGAAAGGTGGGGCAGGAGGTGGAGGAGATGGTGGGAGCTTTTACAGCATGTGGGGGGAGAGTGGGGGCGGGGAATGGACATGTCGAGAGGAAGCGGAGTTGCAGCCAGGTCATTGAGCAAGTGGAGAGGGACAAGGTTGCATTACACTTGGGGCTTCTCCGGTACGTGGTTATGACAGAGAGCAAGATCCAGGAAGTCCGAGAAAGGTGGCCTGGCAGATAAGACATTGCCTAAGATCGCTAAGGGCTGAACAACTCTTTCTCTTCCTCCTTCTTCCAGCCAGGTGCCAGCAGAGGATTCAAAGGTTTCTTCTAGGAAACGGGACCCTACCTGGGCGGGGCGGGGCGGGGAGCCGGGGCGCGGGACTGGGGCGGGGCGGCGCCCTCTCCTCCAGGCTCCTGCAGCCTGGAGCACAGAAGGCTGAGGAGCCACAGGAGCCAGGCCAGCATGGTGGAGTTTGCGCCCTTGTCCGTGCCGTGGGAGCGCAGGCTGCAGACCTTCGCAGTTCTACAGTGGGTCTTCTCCTTCTTGGCCCTGGGTAAGGTAGGCTGGGTGAAATGGGAGACCATGGGCACCTGGGAGGACAAGGTGGCTCCCAGGTGCACACAGCACATTGATGGTGGAAAGCCCCTGGAGGGGGCTTTGCTGTGCTCAGAGCCTCTACCCAAAGAGACCTCCTGGGCTTGCCTTGATCCTTTTGGGGGGTCGATGGGGTCCTCTGGGCAGGTGTTAGTTTCCTGGACTTTGCTGTAGGTTACTTCTGGCACTTGGAGGGAGATTGCTGCAGGCTGCTGAGGGTGTGGGGGGGCGTCTGGATGCCAAGAAAGTTTGGGGCTCCTGAGGCTGCTTTGAGGGGATGGGTTTCCATCTTGCCTTTCAGAAAGAATGAGCTGGGGCTGGGAACAGGCTCTCCAGCCTCCACCGCATCGTCTGTAGAATGGGCGTAATGATTCTTCCCTAGGAGGCTGATGGATGAAATGAAGACCGGTCCGCGCCCCCACCCCCACACCCCGCCCTGGGTGGGCTCATGCAGGAGAGCCTGGATATGTTCTCTGATACCCCTGTCCCCGCACTGACATGTGCCTGGGCGGGGGAGGTGTCACCCTGTCTCAGACTCCAGCCCTGCTGAATGGAGCACTTTCGAGGAGGGTTTAGGACTGTGGACTGGAAAGGGAGAGTGACTGGGATCACATGGAATCTTCACTTTGTCCTCAGACACCAGATTGGGGAGGTGCTGCTTCCCCATGGCTGAGGTTCAGCCAGGGCACAAATACCACTGGTTGTCAAAATGCTGGCATGCTCTGTACTAGTTGGTCACACACTCGTGTATGTATGCACATGTTCCTGCAGTTCCTGTAGAACAGCAACAAGAAGGGTTAATTAAAGAGGCGGAGGGAGGAGAGGGAGAGAGGGTGCTGGGGGAGGTGTGGGCCACAGCAATGGGTGTAGAGAGTAGAGGGAGAGAGATCTTAGCCCAGGTCCTGCTCAGGCCAAAGGGGGCCCAGAGTGAGGGGACGAGGGTCCTCATGCTCGCCCTGCCTCCTGCAACCTTTGAGGGCAGGAATGTGTCCAACTGGCCATGACCACCCCAGCCCTGCAGCCTGTCTCCCCCCGCCCCCCCACAGCCCTCATCCGCACATACAAGAGCCTGCCAAGGGAGAGGAACATAGGGAAAGCAGGGCTCTGGGCTCATTCATGTCAAGAGGAGGAGTTGTCACCTTCTCCCTTTATCCTGAGGGCAAAGGGATTCCTTGGGCTTCTGTAGTAGAGTGACAAGGTCCAACCTGTGTAGTAAAGGTCCCAGTGCCTGCAGTCAAGGTGTCTGCTGTGTTTGGGGTGGGGCTGGGGGGAACACATCGAAGGGAAGAGCAGTCACAGTTGAGATCGGGGTGGTCACCAAATTAGGGTCAATAGGTCAAACCCAGCCCAAGGAGTGTTTTTGAAGAGTCTAAGAGATAAGATTGTCTTATTTCTTGAGATAGAGTCTTGCCTTTGCCTCCACAGTGCTGTGATTACAGGCATGCTCCACCACACCCAGCTTTAAGAATGATTTTTCTATTTTTGAAAGACTGCATTTCAAATGACTATTTAAGTTATTGGCATAATATCTTCCAGTTTGCCTCTTGAGCTCTAAAGTCTAAAATATTTGCTAGCTGAACCTTTAAAAAAAATTTGCCAGCCCTGGTCTCAAGAGGCTGTTGGGGGTGGGGGAGAGAAAAAGTTCCAGTTTCAAGAGATATTTAGGAGATGGGCTCCACTGGCTGCAATCAAAAGGGGTAGAAGAAGAGAGAGGAAGAAAGCCAAGTTGATGCCAGGTCTTGTCTGCACTTGGCTAGCGGTGCTCAATGAGCTTGGGCTGTCTGGAAGAGAAGGCTGAGGATATTAGGGAAGAGGTCTAATTTAGTCCTGAGTGCAGGTGACCTTGAGGGGCATGAAACCAGAAGAGAAGACACCATGTGAGCAGCGTTGCAACAAGAGGCAAGAGAAGAGGAAGCATGATGGCGGCAGAGGGAATACATAGAGGTGGTACTTGATGGGAGCTTTAAAGAATATTAAGAATTAAAGTAATCTACATGTTTAATGCAATTCCCATCAAAATTCCAATGACATTCATTAAAGACATTGAAAAATCTACCAATAAATTTATATGGAAACACAGGAAGCCACGAATAGCCAAGGCAATACTCAGTCAAAAGAACAATGCTGGAGGTATCACAATACCTGACTTCAAACTATATTACAAAGCAATAACAATAAAAACAGCATGGTACTGGCACAAAAACAGACATGAAGACCAGTGAACAGAATAGAGGATCCAGATATGAAGCCAACACTATGAGCAACTTATCTTTGACAAAGGAGCTAAAAATATACGATGGAGAAATAGCAAAGCCTCTTCAACAAAAACTGCTGGGAAAACTGGTTAGCAGTCTGCAAAAAACTGAAACTAGATCCATGTATATCACCCTGTACCAATATTAACTCAAAATGGATCAAGGACCTTAATATCAGACCACAAACTCTAAAGTTGGTACACGGAAAGAGTAAAGGAATACTCTAGAATTAGTAGGTATAGTGTAAGAACTTTCTCAATGAAACCCATACCTTAAAAGCAACTGAGGCCAATAGGAAAAGGGGAACGGAACTAGAGAAAAGGTTAGATCAAAAAGAATTAACCTAGAAGGTAACACACGCACAGGAAATCAATGTGAGTCAATGCCCTGTATAGCTATCCTTATCTCAACCAGCAAAAACCCTTGTTCTTCCTATTATTGCTTATACTCTCTCTACAACAAAATTAGAGATAAGGGCAAAATAGTTTCTGCTGGGTATGAGGGGGTGGGGGGGAGAGGGAGGGGGCGGAGTGGGTGGTAAGGGAGGGGGTGGGGGCAGGGGGGAGAAATGACCAAGCCTTGTATGCACATATGAAAAAAAAAAAAGGAACATTAAGAATTTTTAATTAAGCCATGCAGGAGAGGGGAGAAATGACCCAAGCCTTGTATGCACATATGAAAAAAAAAAAGAACATTAAGAATTTAAAAGCCAGCAGGAGAACCAGGCCCCTGGGGGCAGGGGAACTACATGGGCAGAGCAGAGGAAGAATGAAGGACTGTGCACACACATTGAATGTTCATGCTGGAATTAGGGATGTATTTTGCAAAGTGGCACCAAGTGGCTAGAAAAGTCAAGTAGAACCAATGGCCAAAGGTTTGGGGCCCCAAGTCAGATGCTCTGCAAATGGATGACTTGCTTGCTGTCTGTTTCCTTTCCTTTCTCCACAACTCATGCCTCTCACATGGAAGAGCGAGGTCCCTTCAGCAGAATTTGTGTTGTTTTACATCTGTGGCTCCTGGTCCTAGAAGATCAGGTCTGTAAATACTTGTTGAATGAATGAATGAATGAATGCTGGGTGCGTGATGTGGACCAAGTACTAGGACTGAATTCTAAGTCCCACCCTACTAGCTTGCTGTGACCTTAAGCAATACCCTGTGGGGGACTTTGTGAAGTGGGGGTTAAATTTTCCCCAGTCAGGGTTGTGACGATCATGTAAAAGAATGTGTCTCCCTTCCTGAATCACTGAAGAGATCCACAGCCTTCAGCTTGCCTGCTAACAGAAGTTAAAGGGTAGCCCCAGAGTCGGCATTAGGGGTGAATTTCTGGTGAAGGGTAAACACCCAGTTTTTTCTAACTGCAAACACAATACCTACTTTCTGTAACACATTCAAAGTCAAAGTCCTCTCACAATCTCACCCTCCAGGTGACCACAATTGACAAGTGGTTTTATTCTCTAGAGCTGGTTTTCTTTAAGTAGAGCCACCTGCACAGGCTGTTGGTTTTGCCCAAGGGGAAAGAGTCATAGCTGGTGTTTTCTTATTTTTATTGTCTTTCACTAAAATGTTGTTTTGAGATAGAGTCTCTCTGTGTAGTCCAGGCTGGCCTACAGCTCAGGATTCTCCTACCTCCACCTTCTGAGTGCTGTCATGCCCAGCTTTTTTTTTAAACACTAATGTGTGTGTGTGTGTGCGTGCGGTATTGTGTACACATGGTGTCTGTATTTCTGGGCTTGGGCCTTGTGCATGCTAGGCAAGCACTCTACCACTGAGCTATATCCCCAGCGCTTTTTATTACTTGTTATTTTAATTTTGAGACAGGGTGTGGTTATGAGTTCCTAGGCTGACCTTGAACTTGCAGTCCTCCTATTCAGCCTCCCAAATAGCTGGGACTATAGGCATGCACCACCATGCCTGGCTTGCGCTAAAGTTTTTCAATGTGAAATATATAAATAAAATTTAAGTCAATCTCCCATCCTTGTCCCCTGACATCCTGTCCCCTTCCTCCAAGTAGGCACAAACATTCTTCTTTGTGCAGACAATAGCATCTTGTTCCCAGTCTTCTATAGCTTTCTCTTTGAAATTTTTCATTTCAAAATATTTAAGATAAACCAAAAAATAATGAAGCCATAGGCCACTTCTGGTCCTTTCCCTGCACCCCCTTGAGCAATCCAGGCTGAGGTGAAGATGGAGCATGGATTAGGGAGGACAGAGCCTCAGGCCAGGAATGAGGGGGGATGCTGGAGAGAGGCCCTGCTCCCTGGGAAGGCTGACGCCAGGCTGCCTTTCTCCTACTTTTCCAAGAGACACCAGTTGTCTGGGTTTGTAGTAAAGCCTCCCTAGTTTTTCATTATTAGTAAATAATTCATTAGTATTCAAAGACAAAGGGCAAATGTGAAAGCAACCCAAGTGTTCATTGATGGACAAATGGATAAATGAAATGTGTTAACACAAAAAAACAGAACATTATTCAGCTTTAAAAAGGAAGGAAATTCTGACACATGCTACAACATGGTAAACTGAAAACATGCTAAGTGAAACAGACCAGTCACAGAAAAACAAATGGACTGGGTACTGATGGCTCATGCCTGTAATCCTACCTACTTGGGAGGCTGAGATTGGGAGGGTTATGATTTGAGGCCAGCCTAGGCGACTAGTTCACAAGATCCCATCTCCAAAATAACCAGAGCAAAATTGACTGGAGGTGTGGCTGGAGAGATGGGCAACAGGGAGTTAGTGTTTAATGAGCATGGAGTTTGTGTTTGGGATGATAAAAGGTTCTGGTGATGGAGACCAGCAGAGTGGCTCAAGTAGTAGAGTGCCTGCCTAGCAAGTGTGAGGCCCTAAGTTCAAACCCCAGTGTGAAAAAACAAAATACTGGTAGTGGACGGTGCTGATGTCTGCACAGTGCGGATGTATAATGCCATTATTCTGTACAGTTAAAAATGGTGAACTTTATGTTAGATTTCACTAGAATAAAACAATTCAAACACAAAGTGCCCCAAACACCACACTGGAAAGCTGACTTCACAAAGGCAAAGATTTGTCTGTTGTTCACGACTAGAACACTAGCACCTGGCACATTATAGGGGCTCCATGCAGAGTAAATATTTAGGACCCCCCCCATCTACATTATCCTGCTGCTGAACCTTTACTGCTCAAACTGGGCCAAAAGCCCCCCTCCAAGAATGGGGAGGGGCAATATTCTCTAAGAATGAAGATCCATCAGCATCAGATTAGGGATGGCCCCACAGTTACTGACCTTGACCCTGAGATGAAACAGGCAGCATGGCTTGTGGAAGCATAGATCAGAGGGCAATTGTGCACTGGCCCTCTGCACATGCCCACTACGCCTGCTGGGTTGCCAGGGGACAGCCTCTTCCTTTCTCCCCTCTTCAGCAAAGGGCATTGTGGGGTGAAGGAAACAGAACTGGGTGGGTTTAGGAACATTAGGTACCAAGAAAGCAGTGGGTATGTAAGTGGGTGAGGCGGGGTGAGATCAGGAGAGGATGGGGAAGCTCATGGGTGGCCCAGCACCAGGCTGAGCTGCTTGGGCTGTGCCTGGAAGCCATGAGGAGGCCATGGAAGGGCTTTGGTAAGAGAAAGGACCCTGTCAGACTTATTTTTATAGAGAGATGAGGCAGGGTGCAGACAGAAAGGGCAAGAAAGGGTCTCCCTTTTCTCTGAGACTCCAAAGATGGAAACTGGAAGTTAGCTCAAATCAGTGGCCTCCTTTACTGAGCCCCTGGTTAACAAAGACTATCTTGTCAGGGACAGGAGGGCAGGGAGGGGGGCAGTTGGGGCAGGTAGCCTGGGAAATGACTTTGGACTTGGGCCTACCTGGGTGGGGTCGGCCATGCTTCCGTGTTTTGGGCTCTCATCTCCTCCTGGGAAGCATACAGATCTGGTCTCTTCCTCCTGGGATCCAGGGCTGGACAAGGCAGTGCTGTGGGTGTGGAGGTCACGCACTTCCTCATGGACGTCAGGCCCCTGACCTTTCTGCTTCCCTCCCCAGCCCAGATCTGCATCGCAGTCTTCATAGGCCTCCTGTTCACAAGGTTCTGGCTCTTCTCTGTCCTGTACGCCACCTGGTTCTACCTGGACATAGACAAGCCACGGCAGGGGGGCAGGCGCATGGAGACCTTCCGGCGCTGGGTCCTGTGGAAGCACATGAAGGACTACTTCCCAGTTTCCGTGAGTATCAGGGCTGCTTTGTGGGCCAATTCTGGCTGCCAAGTGGTCAGGGCTCCAGGGCCCCTCATTGTCTGCCCCGTGTGCAGTGAGCAGAAGCTGGGGGGGAGGCAGGGGCCCGAGCCTCCACCTCTGTATGGCTCTGGGAAGAATCCAGTTTCTCTCTGATCATGACTTCCCACCTCCAGGGACCTGGGACCAGTGGGAGGATTACTGAATGCACAGGTTTGAAGGAGCTCTGGTGGGATGTAGTGTGTTACACATGTGTCTTAAAGGAGCAAATCTACCAGCAGCCCAGGTTTGGGGTGAAGCTGATAAACTGCAGGTCGTAAGAGACCATCTGGCCCCATGTTACTGTCATCAGATGACACTGACACCAGAGAAAGATGAGGGTGTGGCCAAAGTCACACAGCAAGTTCTCGTACTGATTTTATTTTTATTTTTTTTTTTTTCATTTTTCTTTTATTATTCATATGTGCATACAAGGCTTGGTTCATTTCTCCCCCCTGCCCCCACCCCCTCCCTTACCACCCACTCCACCCCCTCCCGCTCCCCCCCTCAATCCTCAGCAGAAACTATTTTGCCCTTATCTCTAATTTTGTTGTAGAGAGAGTATAAGCAATAATAGGAAGGAACAAGGGGTTTTGCTGGTTGAGATAAGGATAGCTATACAGGGCATTGACTCACATTGATTTCCTGTGTGTGGGTGTTACCTTCTAGGTTAATTCTTTTTGATCTAACCTTTTCTCTAGTTCCTGGTCCCCTTTTCCTATTGGCCTCAGTTGCTTTAGGGTATCTGCTTTAGTTTCTCGTACTGATTTTAATGTTTCTCTGTCAGTATGGCAAAGGTGCAGGGGAGAGACAGTCCTCAGGTTCTCTCCTGCCCCTACCGCTAGAATGCTGTGTGTCCTTTGGCAAGGCCTTGGCCTATTCTGAGCCTCGTAATTCTGGATCAGTAAGCAGACTGATCTCTTCTACTTCAAATGCTCTCAAATCTCTCTCTGGTTCATGACACTTTGAGGTCACTGTGGACGCTTGGCCCTGAACTTGGCTGGTGCTGAGTGGAGCAGATCCTTGGATCCCCCTCTCTTACTCCTGTACTGGGGGTTGAACTCAGGGCCTCACGCATGCTAGGCCAGTACTCTACCACTTGAGCCATGCCCCCAGCCCTTTTGTTTTTATTTTGTTTTTGAGATAGGGTCTCATTAACTTTGCCCAGGCTGGCCTCCAATCTCCATCTTCCCGCCTCCATCCCCCAAGTAGCTGGGATTATAGGAGCACCACCACACCTGGCTAGATCCCCAGATTTGACTGAGCATACCCTGGGGTTCCTTCCACTGAATCCAGACAGGCTAAAGCCTTGCTCTAAGCAGCCAGGCCACAATGGTTTGCTGGCCAGCTGGGATAGGATAAGATGGCAGTGGGACCGCCAGAAGGGTCGGGCAGGGGTAGTTGGACCCCCTCTGCAAACAGAAGAGAAGAAAGGTATGGAGCTAGACAGACTAGATTCTAACCCTGGTGTGCACATAGCAGCCGTGTGACCTTGGGTAAATTATACAGTCTCTCTGTGCCTCTATTTGATGACATATAAAATGGAGATGGTGCCCCATACCTCCCTGGGCAGTGTGGCTTCAATAAAACTAAGCAGACAGAGTGCTTGTAGGTTCTTAATTATTGGTACAGTATTATTTGACTGGGTCAGCGTGACTCTGAGGAGACCTGGGCATGGCTGAAGGTCTGGGGGGACACAGAACCTGGAGTCCCATTGCTCTGACCTTCACACTTGCATGGCTTCTCCCTCCCTATCCAGGAGCCCCACCTCTTCCTGCCCTCCAGGAATTAGGTTCATAGCCAGCCGAAGGAGACAGAGTAGAGGATCAGGTCCAACAACTTGCTGGAGTCATGAGAACTAAGTGTTAAAGTCAGGAACCTCATCTTGGGAGTCTTGGGGCCCCACAAGGGCTAGCAAGGGCTGGGCGACAAGTGGCATGCAAGAGTTCCTAGTGCCCCAGTAAGGAGGGCCTCTAGGGCAAAGGGTGAGCGTGGACGGAGCTGGCAGAGGGCAGGGAATTTGCTGATAGAGACTGCCACGCTCACCAGGGGTCATAGGTGTCGAAGGGCAAGCACATGTGCTAGCTTGTCTTCCTCACTCCTCAGATGTTCTGCAGGGCCCCTACGGGGTCTTGTCAGCAAAGACAAGCAGGGCTAGTTTGGCCCCAAGAGCAGCTAGGAGTGTGTGGCAGTAGAGAACCCCATCCCCACCCTGGGTCTCTGATTCTGAACTCCCTTCCCAGGGAGCCCAGGGCTCCTCTTCTGTGCCAGAACAGTCAGAGACCCCCAGGAAAGTGTGACCTGTAGCCTGGGGAGGTATAAATGACATCAGGTACCTGCTGAAACAAAACCTTCAGACTGCAGGTCTGGCCTCCAGTTGAGTTTTGTAAATTCTGGCTGTGGTCTACTTCCATTTGTGAACTGAATCCTGAGTTCACCAGAGAAAGAAAGGCCACCTGCAAAGGGGACAGGGACAAGTACAGGCCCAGGAACTTGCCCAGGAACTCCTGAGCAGCAGCCAATGCTCAAAGTGACTGAAGCAGAAGGTGACCTGAGTAGAGGTCACTGTACTCCACTTTGCTGACAGTCCCCAGCAGCCTGAGGGCTCCAAAAGACAGCATCTGCCTCTCACCTCCTGGAGTGCTTCCAGCTGCAGGGCTGGAGGAAGTGATGCTCAGGTGGCTCCATTCCCCAGTCAGTGGGCTCTAGAGAAGGGGTTCTCAGCCTCAGCATTATTGGTGCTGGTGGGACACTGGTCTTAATTTGCAGAACTTCTGTGTGCGTGGTTTTTCAGGCTTTTTGTGCACTACAGGTTTCTTACAGCACCCATGCCAAGAGTTGGCAGTACTGCGAGTGGTCAGCAGAGGGCGAGATGCCATTAACTGCCTGTCCTAGGCAGAGAGCCTGCAGGGATGGACTGTGGCCTGCAGACTCCCCGCAGACCTTCTAGGACACTCTTCCACACTTCTGCCCACTTTTCCAGCACAGGCTCAGAGGGGACCTTAGGCTGAGCAGAAGGTAGACAGACCCAGCTCTGCTGAGCATCCCACATTTGCAAGCCTCTGAACTCCCCTGTCAAATTTGAGTGGTTGTCTGATGGTTTCCCAGTTTCTATCTATTTCACTGTGATTTTATGAACCTGTTCCTGGTGAAGGAATTACAAGAAAAATTAGAACCCTGTATCTGGCCCTTGGAGCTTTCTAAAATCACCCTGTCAGCTTCCTAAAGAGCTAATGGTGGAAAGTCAGGCAGTTTGCATGGGGAGAGCTGTTCCCACCTTGTGCCAAAGACCAGCCTAGGAGCTGGGTGTCCCCTCCAAATTATTTCACCATCCAGAGCAAACACTGTCTACACAGGCCAAGGCCTTCAGAGGGACCAAGTTCTGTGTCCAGGGCTGTGACCTTGGGTTAGTAAATTCTGGTCATTGTCACAGCCAGTTTGGGACAGAGCAAGACATCTCCCCACCCCACCCTTGTCCCTGCCTCTCCCAACCTGGTATCTCTTCAGTCGGTATCAACCCTTTGACTTGACATTTGGGACTGGATAATTCTTTGTTGAGAGGACTTGTCCCCATACCTGGCATTGCTACTCTCTCCCCGCTGTGACAACCAAAAATGTTTGCAGACATTACCAAGTATTTCCATCAAGGGGGCTGGCAGGGACAGATACATCCCAGTTAACAACCATTGCTCCAGAGCCTAGGGTCCTGGCTCATTCCTCCTCCCCTCCACCCTCAGTCCTGACCACAAACTTCTCTTTTTTCTGCGCTCCGCTTCCTCCAATGCCCCCCGCCGCCCATTCTCCACAATGTACACCTTCTTAGAATAAAACTTATTTTTGCTGTGGCCTACACTTCCCTGTACTCTGAGCCCTTATTTGCCTCTCCTCCTGACTTCGCCACCTCAGTTCTCCAAGCATGACCCCTGACACTTGTGCAGATGCCTTATAGGAGTGCACCCCCATCCCATTAATCCCTGCCACCTTTCATGTAGGGGCTTCTGCAGAGTGACAGGGCCAGCTGGTTACACTCGAAGAGGCTAGCTGCCTAAACTTGGACTCCAGCTCTGCCTCTTTACTAGCTGAGTGTGATGGAGCAAGTTAATGAGTCTACATCTCAGTTTCTTCATCTGTAAACAGGGGGCACTTGTACCAATAAATACTTCCCTCACAGGGGCAATGAAGATGAAGCAAGCTGATGTATGCACAGTGCCTGCACAGAGTAGGGTCTGGGAATGTTTGCCCCTCTGGCTCTCTTTCCAGTGCTCAGGGCCCACACAGACTGCATTTCTTCAACTCTACAACATTCTCAGTGGTAAAGCATATAGTATTTTACACACCACTAAGGAAAAGTTCTTCCAGTTAGAACTGCAAGATGCATCTTGACCTGTAGATGTTTAGAATGGGGAAGGGGCGGTGCAGTTTAGGACTTAGGGAATGTGTGATTGACAACAGTGGGTGTCTGTCATGGCTTTCTGTGGTAGGGTGAGAAGGCAGGGCTGAGAACTTAACTGGGAAGCTGGGAGGCCGTGTGACACAGGGCCACACAGGGAGTTACTGCCAGGGCCAGGGAGAATATTCAGGCTTTCCATCCATCCATGCACCTGGCCATGATGAGAAGAGACAGGGAAGGATCTCAGACCCGGCATACACATGCACATATGAATGCTCACACACACACACACACACACACACACACACACACGTACCAGCAACAGCCTGAACCTGCCCAAGGCCAGCACCAGACCTATTGAATCAAACTCTGCTTACAGGGCATGTTTAACCTGCCAAGCAATCCATGTACATAAATAGATCATGAAAGTTCTCCATGACCTGCCCTGGAGCCCTGAGAGCTTGACTGCTGGTGCAGGAACCATTTCTTCCCAGGAGAGGGAGTCTAGAGCCAAGACCTTGCAAATATGACTGGAACATTCCTGAGCTAGTACTGAGGACCA